TTTCATGGGTCCTTTGACAAGTGCTAGCTTTCACGTTCTGGATCATTCTGCTTGTTCATTGGCATGCTAGCTACCGTAAATTGTTATAGATAAACTTTGTAATGCTTTCCCCTATCAATCCTTATAAAGGTGATGGATAAGAGCAATTTCAAGATAACAACCCATGATGAGATTGATATTGCACTCTCCGCACAATATCGTTTAAATCTTCCAATTGTAGTTGATGAATCTAAGGTTCGTGGATGTTTAATTAATTAGCTAGGTGATTTTTGTGCTAACACTATAAAAAATTGAATGTGTATATTCATGTGTAATGTGGTCTTCACATTGCTTATCTTATATACGAGTGTGTTTATTTGTTGGATGTAGGTCGACAAAAGGCTTTTTGAAAGGTATTTTGAAAAGCATTCTCGAGACAACCTTCCTCACTTTGCTCATAAGGTATTAATTTCACCACTATTTGATGACTAAACATATATATTATGTTTATATAATTAGGTAGCATATTTTTCAGTTGAACTTGTAAAAACTTAAGTGAAAAATAAAACCATGTATGTCATTTTAATAAACTTTTTTAATAATAGAAAAGATTGTAATAATTGTTTAATGACTAAACATTATATTATATGACAACTTAATTAGGAAGCTGGTGACTACTTGTAGCCTCTTGGGACTGTTTATAACAACTGTTGTGTTATTATAATTAGATGACAATAAGAACAGGGGAGGATATATATTAATTCTAACGTCCCAAAGTATCTATAGGAGATTTGTGTGCGACAATAATTAGTTTCAATAAGACGAATAGAATTAGATTGGTTATATATCTCTAACCTGAATTCATTAATAATTTTGTTGTTAGTACATAATCTTCCGTCGAGGCTTTGGAATTGATCATATGACCGCTTTCTTTGTTAACGCAAAAATAAACACAATCATTGCACGTGTTTGGAGATGTTTTATGACAATGACCGGGTAAGTAATTAACTCTATTTTATATATATTCTTCACTTTGTCAACACTTAATCAAATTATTATAAGGGTAGGGTGGTGTTTGACAGCTTAATTAAAAACAAATTAACTGACTATTATATATATGTGTGTGTGTGTAGGTTAAAGAGAATTTTCTCGGGGAAGCGTAAACAGGATGCAGTACAGCCAATTGAACTCAAAATTGATGATGCAGATCATCAAGATGGCCTATATGTTGAACGAATTCGTATTGAGAAGTTGAAACTCAGGTTCTAGGCGGTACACTTGATAATGTAACTGATGCATGGCAATCTATGGTAAAAATTTAAGGCATGGCATGTCAAATATATGTCATTTATGTCAAGAAGATTTGGGAGACGTACGCATACCCGGACATAAATAAAATATGAATGAACGTGCACGTAGTCTTTTTCTTTTTTTCTCTCGTTAATTAATTTTTGGGTATATAGTAGCACTTTAACTTTCAACTTTATGCAAGCAATTTGATTATTAATTAATATTATTTAGCTGTATTGTACGTAGAAACTAATTAATCCATGACTACTTTAATTATATATTAAGGAAGGATCAACGGGAAAACATTTAATGCTCGATGGGCTCGAGGGGGATGTGAGAGGGAGGGGAACAGATTCGGAAGACAACAAAGAAAAAGAAAGCAGCAGAGGGACTTTCAAATTGGGAACAACGGACGAGGCTTCAGGGGAAAACAACATAGAATGCAGCACAAAAAGTAGCACGATGGAGCAGAGGGGAATTCCAAATGGGTCTGTTGGGCCAGCAAAGGAAAAAACATCAGAAAAAGGGAAAGACGGGTTACAGAAGCATGGGCCAAAGCATGAAATGTTAAACCCATTATCTTTGGGTAAGCCCAACAAAAAGAATGCTACCAAACCAAGCCACGGGAGAAATGAAGAAATAGATAGCTTCTGGAAAGACATGGACAGCAATTCAGAGGGGTGTAACTCAGAGGGGATGCCGAATTGGACAAGAAAAGGAGAAGGAAAGAAGAAACAAAGACAGAAAAGAAGAGTAAAGACCTGCAGATCTGTGTATATACAATCAGGCGGACTCAAAGGCACTCGG